ATCGAAGTTTACAGTATTTGGGTTTAGGATTGGTTTTTCTGATAATCTAGCCCCTGGATGCTACACGAAAGGTGCTCCTTTAAATCGGTATTGCTTACACTTCCACGTAATGCTAAAGTATTTACCTGGGGAGGTGGGGGGGTTCATAAATTTGCATTTGATGATACCCGTGTGTCAGGTCTATGATTGTAAACACCATAGCACCTTCCATTCGTCTCAGTAGCTCGTTTATACGAGGTAGATGAAAACTATGAGTTGGCAATTACTTTTTATTGGACTCATATCTAGACATACCTGACTTTCTTAAATATTCCGTCAGAGGTATTTTGATCAACGGCCAGTGATGCCAAGTTAACTGGCAATTATTGGTAATTGCTTTTTATACCCCGTCGGCTATCCATTTTTTATCTTGTTCTTTCACTATAACCTCATGTCTCCAAGAAACATAGATCCTTGAAGGGCATTTTATCTTAGTGGCATGTACCTTAGTTAGGTCAAGACTGACGCATCCGTCGTTAAAGCGGAATTTTTCCCAGACTGTTATCTTTATCTTCTTATTAACTATTATAAGATCCATTATCATGTTTGCAAAGTCAGGTATTAATTCCTTGACTGTGTATAACGGTGGCGTATATGGTTCTAAACAATTATCGTCCGTTTGATCCTTTAATGGATCTATGTTGTTATGTAGACCAGTTACGGTTATTCCTAACGTGAGCAAATCGCTTATCCCGACTATGATATCGGACTTCTGTGACATCTTAACGATCACAGCTTGAGTAGTGATATTTTCATCATCAGCCAGGGAAAGTTTTACATCTGTGGCCATGATATCACACTTAGAAATCTTATCATCAGCTAAAATGAGATGAGTTTTAATAGTGGCAAGTTATTGGTCAAGAATTACCGACTTAGCCTTCATCAGACTGGCGCATCTGGTTGGCTTATCGGAGGATCAACTAGGTAACGTTAATAGTCCCTAGAAACCTATATTCGGTTGAGCCATCTCGCTACCGAAGTATTCAGATATAAATAAAATTAGAAAGTAAATAAAGCTCTATTAATAGAACTAGACCAACTCTTTTATGTTTGGTATTTTACTGAGGCCTTTTAATGGCCTCATCCAAATATCTGATATGTTAAATGGAAAAGGTTTAATTAATAAAACCAATAAAAACCATTTTAGGAAACTTAAGTTCCTCGTTCTATTAAGAGCACATTTAGGAGACTTAAGTTCCTCGTACTATTAAGAGTACATTTAGGAAACTTAAGTTCCTCGTACTATTAAGAGTAGGGGCCTCCACATTAGACTCCATGACAATAATAGTGATGATAAATGTTCACCACAGTAACGATATCTTTTTCGCGCTGTAAGGGTGTCGAGTTCTAGTAGGATCATACTGTACTTTTGAGTTGTTTGCGGCTATTTTTATATTTATATAATTTAATAGGTAGAACACCATTCCGTGGATATGAAATGGATTTGTGCGATAAAGATTCAGCCTCGGTGTGTTACGATCTACTATCGAAAGTTGTATCGGCGAGTGGTATTCGATATAGTGTTGTTGTGTGTATTATCTTGTTAAAATAGATGTCGAGCAGTCCGCATATTGCTTCAATGTCCCGATTTGTTAGTGAATATGTTCTTTGTGTAGCAATTTTCAAATAGTCTGGTACTCTCCGCGCGACAAGAGTTTAACTTTATGTTGGTCGACATCATTATTGTACATTTCTTTAGAAGTAAACGAGTGCTTGCTGGATTGGAGGATTGAATATGAACGAAGTGAGCTCATCTTCAACATAATACGCTGGGGGTATAACCGTTGTTACTGAATTCGCCGTGATCGAATGATATCTAGCATAATATTGGTAAGCACACTTTAGCCAAATTCAACAAAAGTCGAAGATTTATCAACTTTTCCTCACCTGAGAAAAAGATATGGCGAGTGCGGTTAACATCGCTTAAATAGCGATTTAGTTCCAACTTGTCAAAAGATTTGAAATTGGTTGCCTTGCTCTAGATAACCATATACATCCTCGTGTTGTCCAATTTCTCCTATAGTTGTCTTGAAACCTCACAGTTGTAAGAATCGAAGCCTACTTTTGGTTAGTTTGCTGCAATCACCTTTCCACCTTTTATATAGACCCGTTTCCCATGTTTGTTTCTGGAAAAGGTATGGCTTATTATTTGCCGCATGCCCACTCGGCTCAACCCACATAAATCTCTAGTTGGCCTGGAGTGTTTACTCGGCAGAATTCGAATATTTCCATAATTTTCCAGACCCTGTGTAATTGTTAGTATGTACATACAATGTGCAAGACAATAGTTGATGTACAGAAGAAATATCACTTGTATTGGATAAGGCGTGTATTCAGCTCGAGCTGATCTGCGCTAGCTGTATGAGAGCACACCCACGAGCGGCGAGAGGCTGGGTGCGCTATGAGTATTTACAGAATGTTGACTTCGGGGTGTGTGCTGAACTATTTGCACTGGAATATTTGCATGATTTCTCAGACCCTATGTAATTGTTAGTATATGCTTAATTTATCTACCCTCTATCGAGCCTCCGGCTCCCTCCATCAGTAGACGCCAAGCCGTCGCGCTGCTTGTGCAAAACAGTTGTTAGCAAGCAGGGAAAATACCACTTGTTTTTAAGCTAAGCGAATGTTTCTCTATCGAGTCGATTAGGATTTGTCTGCTTTTCTCATCTATTGTAAAACTGACATCCCTTTCATATCGCAAAATCGACTATATGTGTGTAACTGACCTTATTGCGCGTCAAAACTTAAGATTTAGGGTTTTTAGGCACACTACCAATTGTCGACATGGTGATTATTTTAAGCATAGACTTTCCTATTCAGAATCGATAGAATATAACATATTGTTGCTTCCTATACACGTTAACAACTTCTGATTGCCGCATTATTTCCTCTATGGTGTCAACTACTCGATTCAAATATTTGCATGATTTCCCCATTCAAACTTTTGCATCTTTTCCTGGACCTTAAGTAATTGTCGGTCTCGTCACACATTGTGCACGACAACTTTTGGCGAACAGGTAAGATGAATCGACTAAGATTTGTCTGTGATTCCTATCAATTCTAAAAGTGACCTTTTTATATCGTACATGGCACAAAGTTTGTTGGAATAGTCATTTTTTTAACAACTTGGTACTTCAGTTCATTTATTGCTGGCTGCGGGTCAGTAATGTCGAATCAGTCTAATAGCAGTCTAATAGAGATTGGATTTGGAGAGATACTTTCGCTTCTTTCCGTACATATGAGATTACGATGTCTTGATTTTATATATGTTGTCATTGTGCTTTGTAATGACTTGCCCTTATTTCAATGCAGAGTCATATAGTATAGTCAGCAATACAGGCAGATCAACTGTTGAGATCAGTCTCTCGTATTTTCAGCCCGCGAAATGAATCGTCTGCGTGTGTGACCGAGGTTTACAATGACGTATATTGTGGAATAGGCTACCACGCCCGTGACTCGGCGGACTTGCCACACATGGGTGTACACAGTAAGATCTCAGTGTCTATAATTGTCTATTTCCATGTTATTTGCTTGAAGTCGAGTCACTATTCTAATTCTGGGACAAACCTTGTAATCATAATGTTGCGGCTATGATATTGTGTGCAATTTTGGTGCAGGCTGGCGCAGCAATGCAATACTCTGAAAGGACTACCGCTGATTATAGCATATTCCTATTGTCGGTTACCGCATCAGACGGTCTATCAAATTTTATTGACGCCTACATATAACCTCATAACCTTCGAATGTTTGAAATAACATACTCGATCAGATTCTTACTGCTGCTAGGAACGCATGTCAGCATCGGTTGTATGTTGTATTTAGTTTTAAGCAACTACACAATAAAAATAGGGTCACCACAAAAACACGGGTACAGGCGCAAAATCACAAACAGAAACATACACAGATGATATTATACATCAGCTCGACAGTTGAGAATAGACATTATGTTTTGGATTATATAATCGTACATTAATATCACAGCGCATGTGCATACTTTATATTTTCCTATAGCAGAAGAAAGTTCACATACCCGTATCGACTGCATATGTGTCATAAAAATTCAGACATAGGTCGACATCTGGAAATGCGTAGAGAAGTGAGATACATAGTCGGCGATGAGCAGTGTGTCACGGAAGCTGGTTCCTTAAATACAAATCATCCAGCTGTCTGCAAGTTTTGCCTGGCAACTTGGCAAGATTGGGCGATTGACCTACTCAAGGCTGTCAATAAAGTATATGTGATATTCAATTGCATTTGTTTGGACATTGATGTAAAGTGTATACGCAACTACTGCTATGCATATCTCTCGTCTACGACGCTACTACGTATGCGCCTATTACGATGCATGTGTATTTACGGTTTTCGGTTTCATCACAAAATTATGGCATTTGCCCCATTTCGTTGGTGGTTGTACTTGAACAATAAAAATAAAAATGGCTATTATCTGTATTTCTAACTGCGACTTTTTTTCCTAATCGAGTTCTGATAAGACTATTCTTATACCTGATTGCAGGAGGTCCGATATAAAGTAGACGGATGTATATACAGATTGAAGTATAAAGTTTCTGCTCTGAATCGTACTGTAGTGTACCAATGTTTAACTGTCATTTATTTCACATTCAATCCCCGTACGTGATTTTTAGGGACCGACAGGGGCAGCAGAGCACTGAAACCGCTCGGATCAGTCAAATTGGAACAGTTTTTGATGGTTAGGGTCTTTAATGCCTGGCAAGCAGCCAGCAGTGCAACATTAGTAAAACCTGAGCACTCTTTGATGGTCAGAGTTTCTAAAGCCTGACACGCTGCGAGAGACTCGAGGCTCGTAATACGGTCGCATTGATTTATGTATAATTTACGCAAAGCCGAACAGGTAGCAAGCGGCTCGAGATTGACGATATTCTTGCACCTGTTTATATACAGTGCCCGTAGACTACGGCAAGACGCAAATACATCGAGACAACGAATATGGCTAGAGCCGGAAATTCTTACCGTTTCTAGTTTTGGACACTGGGAAAGCGCTGCAAAACTTGTTATATTTGGACAAGTGTATGTAGAGAAACTCTGTAACCTGTGACAGGAGGCTAGCGGTGCAATAGTTGTGAGGCCCAAGCAAGCAGCCAATTTGAGGTGTTTTAACGCCACGCACGAGGCAAGCGGTTCAATGCTGGTGATATGCTGATTCATAAAGATGGTGAGAGTGTGTAGATTTTTGCAAGACACCAGGGGTGCCAAAGTAATATCGAGTGCACGTAGGGAAGAACACAGTACAGGCTTCAGATCGAAATCACTGAGTACAACAGATAAGTCAAGTGTTTGCAGATCCGGGCACATTTCTAGTGTATCCCAATCGACGACCATTTCCATGACAAGAATACTCAGATTGCGCAGCTATCTGCGCAAGTGGTGCGACACTGATGGTACTACGGCAATGTCGGATATAACGGGCGGGGTCTATCACTTGGGCGTTCACCAGAGGTTTAAGGCTGGCGTCAAGGTTGCGTAAGTCTAGTGTAATTATGTGTAGGTTGCGACATCGCGCGAGTGGCAATAAGTCGGCGATATGGCTCGTAACACGGGTGTTATCTCCGTGTTGAGGCTGGCCCAGTCGGCCAGGAAAATAATGGAGGGAAGTAACAAAATCCTGATAGTAAGAGACGAACTTATCCAAGTCGCTGGTATTATTAAACGAAGCTTTGCCTCCCACAGCCAGCCACATAGCTAACATACCCAAACTGTGGAAGTGGCGCGAGGAGACTGAGAGCTCCAGAACATCCTTCGAACTCAGATGCTGGATAATGTGTGTCCAGATATCTACACTGAACCGCGGAGATGCCATGTGCATTATGTAGGAGACAGTACGGTGGGCGTGAGTGTAGATAGATATTAGTATATGTTCTGTATCGGTATAACTTACCACATACATATTCACCTGTAACCATTTGCGGAGGTAATCTTTTCTGTATACGCCGGAAAATAATAATATCCACACCCACAAGTGGTTCTGTGACCTCCACATGTACTTATATACAAACCAGTACTTACAACATTGAAATACACTGTGAAATTTTACACATCTAATGCATTTCTCGATGTGAATAAAGGTCCTATTAGTTTAAATAAAATACGCTTTTGACAATGCAGACTACTCAACTAACGAATTTTTCCACACGAGATTATTTGAAAGGCACATTCTTTTGCGAATTTGATCCATTTCTATGCCACTTTGATATAATTAGATTTCGTGCGTGAGAATATGTAACCGTTCGAAGATCGAATTCGCTTGTCAGAGAGTTAACAAGTATCCACACAACACCCACCACAATACAAAAAATACACACACACATACACACACACACACATATATATATATACATACATACATACATACATACACACACATATATATACATACATGCATACATACATGC